GTAGGTTTTATTTGCAATAACTGAAAAATCTAGAAATCCTCTAGATGTTGATTTGTGATTATGTATCAATTTTAAGCAGTAAACAACAATCCCAATCAAACAATCAAGACAAATCGACACAACGATTTTACATGAAAAAACCACAATTGGACACCTCCAATTGTGATAAAAAAAACTACGGGCAAAAGCCACAAAACAATCCACTAAAAAGACATAAAGGAATTACACAGGTATACTCTCAATTACGTACCAAATCCACGCCCGAATTGAACCAACCTCTATGTGTCTCTTCCAACCCCGTCTTTACCTCGGAATTGTCTTGACGATGAGCCACTTCAGAATCCACCAAAACTTCAGGCTCGTATTCTTCAGAATCCACCGAAGAACAACTCTCTCTTTTGTATAGAATTAAACAAACAATCATTTGATGTAAACTTCTAAAACCATGAGTTGAATACTCAATCAAAATATCAAAGAAAACTAGCAAAATATCCCCACATATAAACCCTAGAACCCAAGAAGAAGATCTGGAGAAGTAATCCTAAAATCTGACAAAAACACATACTTATAGAAATCTGAATCGCGATGCTCGCTCGAGCGAAGACTCTCTCGCTCGAGCGAGGAACCAAAAACGCGTGTTTTCCATAAGTGGCTTCGCTCGAGCCAAACAACCTGCGCTCGAGCGTGAAATCATCTCTTTCAGGTTTTTATACGGACGCAGCCTTGTTCGAGCGAGAACTCCTTCGCTCGAGCGAAAACTCCTTCGCTCGAGCGAGCAAGGGCGGACATGCAACTTCGAATGCAATTTTGCATTTTGCTTCGGGGGCATTGCCCCTCGACCCTGCTTGGGCGCTGCCCCTGACCCGCCCCGCCAAGGGGCACTGCCCCTTGGACCCCCGCGAGCTGACCGGGCAGCTCGATCCCCGTCATAATCAGCGAAGTGGCAATCTTGAAAGTATTAATATCACAAACTTCTCTGCAAGCCACAATTCGGGTTGGATTCGCATCTAAACACTCATAGCCTCACTGAAATAAAAAGTGCGAAAACAAATACAACTTAAAGGAGTTTTGTCAAACGGGGTTGCCAAGAATAAAAACCTAACAATAACTTCTCTTCATTTGCTTGGAGATCAGCCAAAATATTGGGATCAAAACATGTAGCAAAGCACACCTACCAAAGATCAAAATATCATCACATCTGTCACACATTAATTTCACTCATTTCAACAGTCGCCCATTGAGAAAACAAGAAAAACAAAAAAAAAATTACAGAATGATAGTGAATTTTACCTTGCTATTTCTTGCTCGCACAAAAACATGAGATAGGATATCTGGCATGTCAGGTATCAGCACAACAACTGTACCATTAGGAATATCTTCCTCTCATTTCACATATTTTGCCACCAAAATTGTTGGCTGTCCATAAGATTTATTCTAAATAGTAAGCAACTTATCCACAACAACAACATACCCAATAGCTTCAACTGTCACAACCCATTTCCGGTACCCAATGGGTTAAGTATCGTGATGGCCAGTAACTGAAGTTACCTCTGGCCAATTCTTGAACAAATAAATAAATGCGAGCGAAAATAATATTTAAGTGAGGGTACTAAAATAATTATCAGAGCTTCTATTTAATTAAATTGTCGAAGCTGAACTTATGTCTACAAAGTGCTTTGTGTCTACCTCACGCACTAGCCCTGACATGTCACCTGAAAGTGGTAAACAACTATAAACACATGGCAGAGTGAGAAAGAGTATAAGGGCATAAAACTCACCATGAAAATTATTGGCTAAACAAAGCTTGATATTAAAATACAGAATATATAATACGGAAATCATTTAACATATAATATAAAATAATCATAATCACGGTACAGAACGGAACAGAACAGATGTATGGATTCAAGAGGTGGCTCGTACGAACTCTAGATGTGACTTCCACAATAATGTAGCACTTAGCTCCGTACAACACTTTGCTCCACACCAGAAATTCAGTGTGTCAATGGATCCATGACAGACAAATGGTTAGACACATTGGTTATTTAAGAGGGTCAATGGTTATTTAAGTGACTAATCAGTGGGCCAATAGTTATTTAAGTCCTCCAAGGCATGGGATCTTCGTAGTGGTACTTATAAAATAATTACTCAAAACACATTTTAATAAACAGTTATATCCATGGGTTTTCCTTAGTATATCAAATAAGGTTCATAAATAAATAACATAATTAATATAATATATAAAACATAATTTACATAAAATAAATTATGGTAACTCAAAACATACGTAAAATATATTATGGTGACTCAATGTATAATATAACTCACCTTTATATTAATCCTTTACTATTACTTCTTCGTTCACCGAAATTCTCCATTTTAACCGGCGGACCACGCCTTCCTTATGTCTCACTTCTTCTTGAACCCCATTTTTATAGGTGTTTTCCAGCCCCTTTCTCTCCATTTTCCTTCCCCTCCAAGAAAACACCATGTGGCCTTCCCTTGGCATGTTTATCCTTACGGATAAGCATCGTGATCAATTTTTTTATTTTTATTTATTTATTTATTTATTATAATATATAATTCCTAATTTAATTACACTTCTCATATATCCATAACATTCAATATTTTATTTTACTGTTACAGAATATTTATTTAAACATTTTGGATTTTTCTCATTTATAATTAAATAATACTAATATAAAATTTAAGGTACAACTTAAATTTTCGGGTTGTTACATCAACAGGGCTGATATCCTGCCAACTGTATCAGATGAGACTAAGTTGATTAATATTACAGAACATACCTAAAAAGAGTCTCTGTGACGCCACGAGATTTGAGGACATCATAATAAGATTTAGAACTTAAAATCAATTTTGTTAATAACTAATCCCACATCAATGTTGTCACCAATATTACTAGAATTAATTAATAACCCAGAAATTAAAAGTTCTTAAATTACAACTCCAATAAAAACTTAAACTTAGTCTTAGTACATAAAAACAACACGAAAAAAAAAACTAGAAACTTAGAAAAATGGTTTATGGATCTTGGACACTTTTCAAGCTAACCAAGGCTGAGTGCCGCCTTGCAAGGCCTCGGTATTTCCTTCGGTTTCTTCGGTACTTGACATAAAACGCCAGGGCAACGGGAATTCCAGTGAGCGACGAGCTCAATAAGATACTACAACCCGAAAATACCCACCCCGATAATAGTACTCATAATTTATGAATAATGTGTAGTAACAGAATAACAAGTAACATTTAGTAAGAATAAAGGGAATGTTATCAGTTGAAATAATAACAATAGATAATAATAAATTAAATAAAAAAATATAACAAACAGAAGCAGTATTTCATCATAAGGAACATGTCCACCTTTCTTTTTAAAGTTTCATAGATTTGGATTATCAGATAAATTTAAGCAACTCCTTGCGGAGCACTATTTCCACTCAACTGCTAAGCAATGGCCACGGGCAATTCTGACTCCCCATTGGTCAAATGTTCAAATGTTATTTACTGTAACTACCAATGATGCCCACGCACCAGGGTTACATACCCGAGTCGTGACATCACGGTCTGCCCCAAGGGAACGGTCTATGTTGTGACACTCGCACCACTAACCTTATATTGCCTACACTGATAAGAGCCGAAATACCTTCCTGTGCCATGTTAGGGTTCGCAACTCACTTGCGCAAGATTCTAAACCGGACTCACCCCATCACTTTTAAATTTTAATGTATCATTGGTTAAATTTCGTGTTTCTTTACTTGTTGAGATATTTACAATAATTCAACATTTAATTACTAATAATGTTATACCAACTCATTAAAATTCCCAACATAAAATATTACACATGTCACACAATAGTAAACAAGCCTACAAAATTTAAATAAACAATTTATTTGAACCATGGTATGAAATAATATTGTAGCTATCAAAAAGAAGAAATAAATCATAATCACACACATGCATGGATTTTTAATCTACAAGATTAGATTAGCATAATATTAAATTTTTGTCCAAATAAACTGTGGGAGCCGAATAATAATGGGTCAATAGGGACGAATGGACAAGAGTTCAGTCCGAGGCATAACCTTTGTTCGGCATTGATCCTAGTCAATTGAAGAGCCAAATGAAATAATCAGCATTCCAACCAGTAGAATAAAGGCTGAGTAGAAGTACATGTAATGGATCGAGGGTGGGCCTGGCCCTAAGGCCCAAAGAGAGTAATATAAATAGAGGATCATTAGTCAGAGAAAGGTATGTGAGAATGAGTACACTTAACTTAGGATACAAGCAATCAAGAGAGTATATACTGACTTATCCGTCGGAGTGCTAATTCCGGCACCCCGACCGGAGTGTTTATTCTTTTTCAAGTTGTTAGCTGAGGATCTCGAGCGTTCCAGTGGATCAAAAGAGTATTTCCAAAACCATTGCCCCACAATTGGCACCGTCTGTGGGAATACTCAAATACATCCATGGCGGGCGTAACGGAAGACCCTCCGATAGTCACTGACAAGACCACACAGAGAGACGACCTCACTCCAACAAACATGCTTGGACCGGAGACTATCAGCGCAAGACGTGCCTTGAACTTCGACTCACTTGCCTAGAACTCGCCCTCAACTTCAGTACATGAGACAATGCAAGCAATCATGGAACAGGCGAAACAAAATGAACAGAGGCTGGAAAACATGATCGCTGAGAACGAGCGCCTTCGTCAGGACTTGGCCTTGGAAGTAGCAAAATCCAATCAAGCTACATGCCAAGATCTAGGACGACCTCTGAGAGCGGGTGGTCGAAGACCTCGAGTTCGGAAGCAATATAGTGACAGTGACTCTGACTCATTATCCCCAGAGCCCAAAAAGAAGAGACGACTCGAAACTACCAGTTCCTCTGAAGAAAGTCCATGTGTAAGGCATAAGCGAAGACAAAATGGTTCAAATGAAGAAGACCAGCACGATCCCTTTGATTTGATTTAGGTTATTTAACTTATAAAAAAAATGATTTGATTTTGTAGGATCAGTTTGATCTACAAGGCAATCCGAGTGATGTAGCAAGGACTTTAAACACACAGTTTGGTCGGCGATTGAGTAGCTTCACCTATAGGTTGCACAAACAATACAAGCAACTTAAGGATGCAAGAGGGGAGGAGTACGCGAGAAGCCACCCACCTACAAGTGTTACTCTTAATCAATGGACATCTCTAATTGACAAGAAGTGGAATAGTAAAGAATTCATGGTATAATGTTTTATGTTAATTGTCAAAAAATTATTTTCTTCTTACTAATGTTAAGTTTTGTTGTTTATATTGGTGTTTCAATCGTGTAGGAACAATCACTAACTAACGTGAATAATAGGATGCAAATGAAAACAAAACATAGATGTGGATCAAAATCAATCCCGGTTAGGGTGCACAGCTCGGTGTGTTCTGCTATTTTATTTTATCAGATTAGTAGGCTTTGTTATTTAAATATTTGAAATAACATTCAAAAACAAATGAATCAGATAATTGCAAATGGAGAAGTTCCTGATTTGGCAAAGTTTTACAAGTCCATCCACTATAATTCGAACACACATGAATGGATTTCGTCGGAGAGCCAAGCTAATTATGTATGTACAAGGCAATGCATATTAATTTTGATAAAATTATTTATTTGCTTTGTAGGGTAGAATAACTAATAATTGTTCGATTTATTTTAAATTAACAGGACAACATGATAAAGACGCAAGCCGAACACCTCTCGCAGACTGGTGTGATCCCTTTAAGCCAAGAGGAGTTGTCAGTTAAGGTACTTAAGCCAAGGTCAGGTTATGTGAAAGGACTCGGCTTGAGGCCTTCTTCTTCTATGAAGACTACTGTTGTACCTGCTGAAAATAGTGACTATGTTCAACGCCTTGAGATGCAAATAGCACAGCTCAGCAAGTGGTCCATCCCCGATCATAGAAATGGTCACAATATCCCCTAAGTTCACTAGTCCCGCGTTAGTTTCAAAATCTATCACAGATTCAGCCAATGTCAAACCCATAATTTTTCCCATGTTTATTTGCTTCTCGATTAATCCATGGCTCAAGAAAAACCATACAGAGGGAAGTGCATGCCTGTAAGACTATCTGCCATTATGTCCAATTCTGGTACCAAACCATCTGTCATCACGGGTGTTGGGGTTTTGGCTGGAATCGAGGTGCATATATCATGAATAAACCAATGCTTTCTGGAATAAGCACCCCGGGTTTTAGATGGGAAGGTGTGATGTATATGTTAGGGATAAAGGTAGTTGGTAGCATATGGATGAGGTTAAGATGGGAAGGCAGTGGGACTTGGTTGTGGGGTAGCAATGGGTTGGAGATGATATTGGGTTTTTGAGGTTTAGATGGAGCTATGGTTTCATTGTCAATGAGATATTGAATCGCGTGGCGTAAGCGAAAACAAATCAGTCTCATGACTAGGTTGTTGGCGAAAAGCATAGTATTTGTTGGGGTTCAAACATGTATTTTGACTATGTTGTTGTGGGTTATGATTATATTGTGATGGATCTTATCTTTTTGTTGATATTTTATTGAATAGATTAAAATGAACAGGTTTTTGTTGATATTACCAAATGAACAGGTTTTTGTAATGATTTGTAATGGATATTATATTCAGCAGGTTATTAAAATGCACAAGTTATTTTGATTGTGTTGTAGTTTTTGATTTTACTAAAATAGATGTTATAATTTGGATGTTATATATTAATTTCTTGATACTATGAGACATGTATTTTGCTTGGTTGTTTTATGATAATGAACAGGTTAATTTTATATTGATTTGTATTAAATATTTTATTTAATAGATTATTAAAATGTACAGGTATTGTTTATTGAAAAAAATATATAAATTGCAAATATAACCCTCCCCTCAATTTTTAAAAATTATTTATTATTGGTGACGAAAAAAAATTGACACTAAAACTTTCTAATCCCAACAAATAATTTTGTCACACATTCACTATTTCATCACTAAATTAAAATATTTCTTGACAAAAAGTTTTCGTCACTGAAAGGTCTTTTTTTTCCATCTTTTGGTGACGATATTTTCGTCACTAAAAATTTTATCACTATTTTTAATGACGAAATATTTTGTCACTCAAAATAAATAAAATAAAATTTTATTTAATTTTGGTGACGAAATGGATGTTATAGGTGACAAAATATTTAATATTTAGTGACGAAATATTTCGTCACCAAATGCCAATAATAGGTGACAAAATAAATTTTCGTCATCAGGTACTTTTAGTGACGACGAATTGATGACGAACGTGGTGACGAAATTATTTCGTCACGGATCAATTTGGTGACGAAAATTTCACTATTGGAGACGAAGTGATTTTGTCATTAAAGTACCATTTTGTTGTAGTGGACAGATCGCAAAGGCAGCGCTACCCAAGAAGTTCAAAGCCCCATCGTTCACCCTGTATAACGGGAAATCGGACCCCACTGATCATTTCTGTCATTATAAGCAAGCCATGACGCTGCATGTAGATGACGAGGCTCTCATGTATAGAATATTTCCGAGCAGTTTAGGGCCATTGGCCATCAGATAGTATTATAAGTTGGAGCCAGCGTTGATTAAGAGTTTCCATCAACTACAGAAATCCTTTAGGGCAAGATTTATCACCAACGAGGTCCAGCCGAAGCAAGTCGACTCTCTCTGGGCAATAAAGATCTAGTCAGGAGAAACCTTACGAGTGTATTCGGTGCGCTATTGGGAATGTTTTAATCTTGTCGATGATGCTTGCAACGACTCCATGGCCATTACCGCCTTTAAAATGGGTTTGCATCCTGATAGTGCTCTCCGTAGTTCCTTGACTAGAAGATCCCCCAAAACAGTCTAGTCGTTGATGAAGAAAGTTGAGGAATACTACAAAGTGAAAGATGACGCCTTGCGGGTTAAAGCCGGAAACATGGCTAACAAGATGGCCCCTTCTGAAATTACTCAGCTGTTAAATTCTGTACCACCTCAGAGCCCTGAACCACGGCATCGGGCTAAACGAGACAAGAGACGGGATTCTCGCCGATCAAGCGACCAATGCTCCCACCGAGCAAATGAACAATTGTAAGTCGATAGTAGGCGCACAAGGCGCGCAGACAAGAAATATACCGAGTTGTCAGAGCCGATCAGCGCGGTTATGTCCAAAGTCCAACACCTTCCTTTCTTCAAATGGCCGTCCAAAATGGTGGGACCTCCCGACACGAGAAGAGGGGATAGGCGGTGCGAGTATCACAAGGATCACGGTCATGATACTGAGAGTTGTTATGTATTGAAGGATCACCTGGAGGAATTGGTACAAGATGGTCGGCTACAATAGTACGTCTGAAAAGGCAACTCAACCAAAGCAATAGCCTTATGACAGGATTCACCTCCACTCGGCGTGATCCACATAATATACAGCCTGCCAATGTCATCCGCGGTGCATACGATTCAGCCGAATCCCGACCCTCAAAATCAACGCACTCCGTCTAAACGGTCCCATGAAGCTGCGAGCATTGCTTTCGATGATTCAGATTTGGCCGGAGTGACACTTCCTCACATCGATCCCTTGGTAATCGAGTTATGCGTAAACTGATTCACCGTTGAGCGCGTACTCATTGATCCGGGGAGCACATTAGAAGTTATGTATTACAAGACATTCACCAAACTCGACTTCTCCGAATCGGATCTTTTTCTAGCTCCTTATCCATTATTCAGCTTCAACGCTATTCCAGAATACCCGTTAGGAAAAATCACACTACCCGTTCGAGCGGACTCCCGAACAGTGGATCTGGAATTGTTGGTCGTCAAGTTGCCATCGCCGTATAATCTAATCATGGGGCGAACTTGGTTGCATACTATACAGGCCGTACCAAGCACCTATCATCAACTGCTACGCTTCCCGACAGAATGCGGCATTGAGCAAATCCATGGCTCCCAGAAATCGGCACAAGCATGTTATCTCCTTGCTGGAAAGACACCAAAAAAGTTGCAAGTGAATTCTATTGAGGTGTCGAATTGAGAGAGTCTCAATGATGTTGGGCGGCTCCCAAGTGAAAAGGCTACGGAAGCCCTAGATCGAGTTGAAATTGACGGAAACCCAGACAGGTTCTTCATGGTCGACGCCTCCCTAAATCAAGTCGACAGGCAGCAGCTAATTTCCTTCCTGCTCGGCAACCTCGATGTATTTGCATGGACTTCATATGAGATGCCTGGTGTAGATCCGTCTGTTTCACAGCACCGTTTAAATGTTGACCCTAAATGCAAGCCGATTATTCAGAAAAGCCAGCGGTCAGCCGCAGAGCACACTGTCGTCGTTGTTGAAGACGTTGACCGGTTGCTTGACGTCGGGGCAATCAGAGAAGTGATGTGACAACCCTCACCTCTGATTAGTGCTAAACTATGTTTAAGCATGATAAGTAACTAATAAGAATGATATCCTGAATCGATTGTATGAGTGCATTGTTTTGAATGCATTTCTATCTGCTTGATTTCTGAATGAATCTGTTCATGTTTTAATTTCGAACTGCGAATTGAAGGTCTTATCAGCGATCGAATCCGAAATCGATTAGCGTTATATGCTAATTAGGATTTATGTAATTTTATGGTAGCTTTAATTAAAATTCGATTAGGAATGATTAGATTAGATTAAATAATGTTAAATTACAATAGTTTGGATTTATTACAAGATTGCCATTGAGTGGCTAATTCTAGACCATTGTTTAGTCTTGATTCATTTTTGTTTGGCACTATCACTTTCCGTCCTCTAGAGACCAACCGTGAGGGAGAGAGAGAGAGAGACTTGGAAGAAAATTTATTTCAACAAGAATTAGCTTGGAGACTTAGAAGAATTGAAAGGGAATTGGCAAAATTGAGCTTCCACGTCTAGAATTCAAGACCTAAGGTAGGAATTCACCTTCTTCATTATGAAATTAAGTTGTTTCTTGCATGGTTCATGGAGATTTGGAGTTTAAAGTCAAGAATTAATTTGAAAGAGTTGAATTGTGAGCTAATTCATGCATGCATGTACATGTTCTTGCATTTTGAGGTTGTTTTCATGAAAATTCTTACATGCATGTCCACATTTTAGTTATGGTCCATGAATCCACCATGTTTTTGTAAGGATTGACTCATTTGATCATGTGTTAGAAGCTTTGAATTCAATGAACACATGCATGATATATTTACATCATGTTCTTGAAGTTTTAATTGAAATTGTGTTCAATTATCTCATCTCTGGGCTTGATTTTACAAAATTGATCTTCAAAACATGTTGTAGTATGAGTTTGCAAGTGTTTTCCAGAAAATTGGCCCAAAAGGTTGAGTTTTGATGTGTTGAATGCTTAGCTTGAGCTTTGAAGGCAAATCTGGAAATTCCAGATTTGGCTTCTACGCTCGAGCGAAGGATTCCATGCTTGAGCGGCCATCGTTTTGTTCAGAGCTCCGCTCGAGCGACGGAATACTGACTCGAGCGTAGATTGTAAACTCTTAGGTTTTTGGTGTACGCAGACACACGCTCGAGTGACGAGACCTACGCTCGAGCGGGGATTTTCAACATCCAGTACTTTTGCATTTTTACAGACCGCTCGAGCGAGGAAGTCCACGCTCGAGCGACCCCTCTGTTTTGGAAAGCTCAGTAGAGTGTAGAAAGCCACGCTCGAGCGAGACCCCTATTTTTAGCAGATTTTGAAAAGTGTTTTAAAGTGCATTTTTGCATCCTCATTCTATCCTAGGCATTCCTAGGCCAAGTTTAAGGCATCTTAATGAGGATAATGTTATAGAACCACACCATGTATAATTAGGGGCTAAGTTATTAATCCTGAGTGTGTGTTCGTTTTGCAACTATAGGGTTGGC